GCCAATCATTCTGATATAATAGGGGTCTTCCAACTTGGCCCTTTTATGACTTGTGGACTTCAACTCCCAGCGTGCCTGGCTGAGGAATTCTGGGAGTTGAAGTTCACAAGTCATAAAAGGGCCAAGTTTGAAGACCCTGTGCTATAATATTCTGCTATAGCAGAAACTTTCTCCTGCTTTTTATTACATTTTCATCTACCTGCAGGTGTTTTTCAGTCTGATTTATAAATCAATTAATTCAGAATATTAAACCAAGTTCTATGTAGTTTAAATTCATACCAGAACTATTTTATTAATTAATCTATTTGTCTTCTTATCTGAACAATAACAACAACAACACCAGCAGGGATTCACTTTTTTCTTGAAATATTGTACTGGTTTTATTTGGAATCCAATCTAAAAATGCTACTCTAAACATTAAAGATTTTTAACAATGTTTTTTTTTTTTGCTTTATATGATCATGAATAAAGTAATCACTGTTCTTGCCTGTTTTGCAAATTTATGTCTCAGTTCACTTTTTCTGCCCGTAGGTGGGTGCAGAATAATAAAATCATTCAACTAGATAAATAATTTATTAAAATAGATTAGAAACCTGAAAAATCAAATGTTTTCTGGAAAATGCTTTGCTGAATACTTTAAAAACTGTTACTGGTCCTGTAATGTATATGGACTGATGGGAAAGGGAAAAATAGTAAAACTCCATGAAGTTTATTGATAATCATAATCTGTATCAACTTATTCAAGTTCTCTTTATCAGAACTTGAAATGGGACCTTTGATAATGTAAACAAAATTAGATGAAGTAGTGGTTGCAAAAAAGCAAGATAGAAAACGTTTCTTAACAGGATATAAAATTGATAATTGCATCATAATGTACCTTTGTACTTTTTAATTTTTATGCGTGGTTTGGATGTAGAGCATTCAGTCTATAGAGTTCTGTTTATTTTTACATATAAGCAGCCTCTTCCCGTGAATTGAAAGCCCGTATCCAAAGCTTAAGCTAATCCATTCCATGAAGGAGCTACTGTAGGAGAGCAACAATCACTAAACAAAATGAGTTTAGAATCTCATTATGCTAATTTCTATTGTGTGCTTGATCTCGACCTCTGAGAGAATCCTGTTTGGATTTCAAAAAACGCCTACGAAAATATCTATTAGCACAAGTATCTGTAATGGGAACTAGGCAGGCATATGCTTCCCATTCCCTCCATAAATGCATTTTTCCCTTCTTGTTTTATTAGGTCAGCTCCCCCCTCCCCCTCCCCTTGATTTGCTGAGGTCACTTCTTGACTTGTGCCTTAGACAGATGGTGAATGAAAGAAGGGCTTGGTGGATTCTCGAAGGAACGATGGAGAGCTTTTCCCTGCCCTTGGAGGTCTCTGGCCACTTTACCCCCAGCACAGAATCTCACAGCTGTAGTGAGCCAAGTTTTTACAAACTGTATCCACAGTGAGTTTCTATGGCAACGGTATCTTAGAGCACACAAACAGGATTGGCAAGGGAATTCCTTCTCCTTCTCCTTCCACCCAAGGAATAACAGCAACAGTCATAAAAACAGTTATATGCAGACATATAACAATAATAATAATAATAATGATGGTGATGATGATGATGATAAAATTGGAAGGGACCTTGGAGGTCATCTAGTCCAACCCCCTGCTCAGGCAGGAAACCCTATACCATTTCGGACAAATGGCTGTCCGGTTTCTTTTTAAAAACTTCCAGTGTTGGCGCATTCACTGTTTCTGGAGGCAGGTTGTTCCACTGGTTAATTGTTCTAACTGTCAGGAAGTTTCTCCTTAGTTCTAGGTTGCTTCTCTCTTTGGTTAGTTTCCACACGTTGCTTCTTGTCCTGCCTTCAGGCACTTTGGAAAATAGCTTGACTCCCTCTTCTTTGTGGCAGCCCCTGAGATATTGGAACACTGCTATCATGTCACCCCTTGTCCTTCTCTTTGTTAAACTAGACATACCCAATCCCAGCAACCGTTCCTTATATGTTTTAGCCTCCAGTCCCCTAATCATCTTTGTTGCTCTTCTCTGTACTCTTTCTAGAGTCTCAACATCTTTTTTATATCGTGGTGACCAGTAGAGTCTCAACATCTTTTTGGTGGTGACCAAAACTGGATGCAGTATTCCAAGTGTGGCCTTACCAAGGCATTGTAAAGTGATATTAATACTTCACGTGATCTTGATTCTATCCCTCTGTTAATGCAGCCTAGCACTGTGTTGGCTTTTTTGAAGTACATAAGTTAGCTTTGGTAAACAACAATAAACTGGTATTTTTTAATGTTCTTATGCTCCTTATTTTAAAAGAATAAGTGAAAAAATCCAAAACTGTGAGGAGTTACAGAGTTGGAAAAAAGCCAAATGTCAGATTTTGTAATGAACAGGGGATTTGTGGGAGAGAGGGAATAGCCTCTTATCCAGGTATTTGTGCAATCCAAGTTTCTCCTCCCCCCACTTAAATAAATATAGGAAACAAAACTGGACTAGAAGACTGCTTCATTAAATCCCCATGGCCTTCACAAAATAGTTCATTTTAATTTATTTATTTTTTAAATTAAATCTGTATGGGAAAACTGTGTGGCTATTTAAGAGGTCCTTGGAGCAGGAGCCAAGGCTCTTATGGCAAAGGGTCCTTCTGAGATCCATTTCCACTTCAGGTTCATTACTTGGCTATCTCAGCACAAATATTGGTCTGATTTAAACTTAACCGCCAAATTATGGTTTATGTATGTATGTAGAGGCCATAAACTCATGCCCTCCCTCCTTGTTTTCTTCTACTCTGACATAAGGAAGAATTTGACAGCTTCTAAATCCATTTTTAGTTAGATATGGTTTCTTTGTAGGTCCAGACTCAGAGCTAATCTTAATTCTGATCCAGAAAAGAATTTTTAGCCAGTTTGCAACCTTATATTGTTGGCTTACAATTCCTATCAGCAACCAAGGATAATACAGTCCCACATCTGGAAATGCATTTTTAAGTCATCCTAAGCTATAAAAAGTATAGCTGTGATTTGTTTGAGTTGAGAAAAAATGTGTAACCTGCATTTGTTTAAAAATGAAGCAGAATTTCCCATCTCCTCTTGCAGCTGAGGCAGAGACAAAGAAAACTGATAAGCCCTGGTTATCAGACCCTTAGGTGATCATTCCTAACCTGAAAGATGCCAAAGTGATGAAATATGTATTGTGATATCACAAGTTGTGCTCCTTACTAATTGCATTGTGACATAGCATGCAAGTACTTAAGAGGCTGAGCTTGCATTGTGATGTTGTTGTGCATATTTTGTGCCTTATCTGTTCTCCCACTGGATGTCCATGCACCAAACCATAGTTTTCAATTATGCCGTGTAGTATGCTTCATTTATATAGAGAGAAAACATATAAAAATGATGCATAAATTGGTAGGCAAGGGATTTAAAATTAGTTTTCCACTATAGCATTAGTAAATTATGAATGACTGAATATCATGTATAGTAGACATGTCAACTCTTGACGTCACGTGGCGTCGCGCGACGTATTGGAGCTTTTTTCCCCTTCCTGGCAATGGGATGGGCATGGTTTCCTGGTGACGCGTTTGGCCCGTGGGTCGGCAGTTTGACACACCTGATGAATAGCTTTAAATGACCACAATCATTAAGCTTTAAACTAGGATAAATAGTGAGAAGAGTGGTCAATATGATATAAATCACCACATAAAATTATAAACTACAATACAATGAGTCAGAATCTATTTTGCTTTAAGTATACCATGAAATTGAAATATGAACTATATACATAAAATTACCAAAATTATGGATGAAGTACAAATCCGATATTAAGTTCTAGTCCAGAAATTGTTTCTATTTAAATTCTATGTTAAATTTACTTTTAAGGTGCAAAGTTATTTTAGACTTTCTTAACTGGATTAACCATTCTTGCAAAGAAGCAAACATAATTTCTACTAAGAAGCATATAACATCTCATAAATGCTTTATTAGCTTCCCATACTTTAGATTAGTATTCCTCAACCGTGGCAAATGTAAGATGTGTGAACTTCAACTCCCAGAAATCTCCAGCCAGTATGCTGGGCTCAACATGTGTGCTCAAGGAGGGAGGGAGGAATAGTCAGAAAATGACAACAAAAATATAGTTGAGGTATAAATTATTCTTGCAGACATATTTTGATTGAACAAATGAAATCGGGAAAAGCCTTTTTGTTCTGTGTATCTAAATTTGATGGCAGGCTTTCCTTGTGTGGATAGGACTGCATGGTGCAATCACTTTAAGTGGCTATGAGAGGATGAGCAGAGATTTGTGCTTCTGTTGAACGACTTACTCTTCCTCACATATAACTGTCTTATGCATTCTTCAGCTTTGCATTTTGCAGGACATAAGGTTTAGAGCAGGAAGATGGGTTGTTGTAAAACAATAATACATGCTTCCCCAATAGTGAACAAACATAATTATTTTCTTATTTGTTCCTTCATGACACTTCTGCCAAAGTGAAGAATAGATTCATATTTTTGTTAATTATCATACATTCCTCCAGCACTTTGGAAGACAATGGTTCAGTGTTCTGTTGCAATCATATAGACAGTATCATGTTTTATGCCCTGGTAAACAGATAATCATGAACTTGCGTGTTCCTTTTTATAGTCTGTCCCACAGTTTCAATAAAGCTAATTTAGGTCCAAATCTTAACTTGACCAATCATCATATATCAATAACTGGCTTCATTTCATGCAATATTTTTCTTGATTCCTTTCAAAAATATGTTCCATACAACTTCACAGCTTCTTTTTTGGCTTGGAAAAGGAATAATAAGAAGGATTCTTAAAGAAAATTATTATAAATAGTAATAACATCAAATGTGAATTTCTCTTGAGCCTCAGAATTTCTTCTCTGTTGATTTTGGCGTGCTAGAGCCTCGTTTGTTTTTGATTATCATTTTTGAGAAATGTTTTCAGTAACAGGGTTGAATAATTGATCTTCATCACTAATTATACTGCTCTCCACAGGTGTCTGGAAAAGGTCCAGATGAGACTCCACACCACCTCCAGTTTGAAGGCATAGAAAGACAGTATGCATCCTTACCCAGGTAAGCTTTATTGTATATTTATACACAGTCACTCTTTAATGCAGACACAAGTGTGTCCATACAAATGTTTTTTCACAGGCAATCAAGGAGTCTTTTCCTCCTCCCACTGTTCCACTGTTTAGCAAAATCTGCATTGAACAGACATCTGGCAATGAAATGAGAGATTATGTTGCAATTTTGTTATGCTGCCCTTCTGCTGATGATTTAGTGCCATCTTTATAGCTGTGTTAATAATTTAGACAGCCAATGTGGGGAGGGGGAGAGATGAAGTTTCAATCACTGAACATGTCAGCAAGAATCATGATCTGTAGACAAGGATGTGATGCTGAGGAAGCTTGTTCTATGAGATCTTAGACACTTTAGCAGAGCTGAATGAGACATCCTTTGTGGAGGACGAAGGGGCTGCTGGGAACAGTTGCAATCACAGTCCCACATCAATTACTCTAGAGTTTTTTGAAGGAAATTTCATTTTTCACAGCAAAGGCATTCATACTATAGCCCCATACCTAAATAATTGAGTAAATCTCCACTAATGAAGTGGATTGCTATAACTTTCTAACCCTATATTTTCCAAGACAAGACAGTTTTGAGGTTGTCATCAGGCTAAAATGTGGGAGACCATGAGTTCTATTCCTGCCTTAGGCAAGACATCAGCTGGATGACCTTGGGCCAGTCATTCTCTCTCATCTATAGGAAGGAGGCAAGAGCAAACCACTTCCTAAGTCTTACCAAGAAAACTGCAGGGACTAGTCAAGGCACCTGACTTGGACACACCCTCCTCCCGAAAAAAATCCAAACTGGTTGAAGGCAATCCATGCCTATGGATTTTGGGATCACAGCTCTCCGAATTCCCAGCCACCACAACCCCCACATTAAATCAATCTTTCCCAGCATTAGGCTCTTCTCCAGTGAGTCCTTCCTTCTCATTAGTATTTGAGTTTCAACTTCAGGATCTGGCTTTCTAAAGAGCAGTTGGGGTTGATCTCTTCTAAGACTGACTTGTTTGAACGCCTTGCAGTCCAAGGGACTTGCAGGAGTCTTCTCCAGCACTGTAGTTCAGAGGCCTCAATTCTTTGGCGCTCAGCCTTTCTTATGATCCAACTTTCACAGCCATACATTGCAACTGGGAAAACCATGGCCTTGACTATATGCACTTTTGTTGGCAGGGTGATGGCTCTGCTTTTTAGTATGCTGTCTAGATTTGCCATATCTTTCCTCCCCAGGAGCAAGCGTCTTTTAATTTCTTGGCTGCAGTCCCCATCTGTGGTGATCTTGGAGCCCACAAACTTAAGTCATCACAATAATATATGGGCCCAGAGGCAGTTGCTCACTTCTGTAGGGTCAGAAATGTCAGGCCTAATATACATGTTACTTTGTTGTTAATATTTATTGAAACATTCATTTAATAGTAGAATTATAACAAATAATTAAATTGAGTAGTCCTCGTGAATCAATTATGTTCTCCTTCCCAAACTAAGATTGTGCTTTCTTTGCTATCACACCGTTTCTCAGCTCATGTGAACCAAACATCTGCTTTCACTTTTAAGAAGATATTCCAACTTTTCTGAAGAGCCAAAACTCTATAAATCTTGTTTCACAAAGATCCTGGAAACAAACAACAAATATTTGTACTATAAGCAGTGCCCAATGAAAAGCCATAGTGCACATATACATGCATACAAACATACACATTTATTTAATTAGTTCCACTCTATGGTCATAGTGTAAGCAGGTTTTTCTAATTTAGCTCCTCGCTTACCGTCGCTGTCCCCAGCATCTCACACTAAATATGGCAGGAAAGATTTTTAGCAAATCCTAAAGTACAGAATAATTTTATTTGAAAATTACAAATAATATGAACCATGACTTTACATGACCAAAGTTTGGTGAAAGTCAAAGTAGAATCAAACAATAAGTAGCAGTGTTAAAAAAGGAAACTAAGAACATGGAAATACAGATAGTTTATAGCTGCCTACCATACCAATCCAGGAATATATATGGTCAGAAGGAAGAAAAGGTAGCTTTCTAAGTCAATGCATCATTCTCAGGGATACTGAGGGATTTTATGTTCAAACAAAGCACCCCCCCCCAAGAGTCCAGCTGTCTTACATATTTATGGTACCTCTTTGTTCATATTTTCCTGCTATTTATTCTTTCAGATTTTATCTACTGTTAAATCTACAGAAGTTTTCTACCTATATGGCAAATTAATTTCTTGGTTAAATTGTACTAATTATGGAATTATAATTAATAAACACTTTGATGGAAAAGAGGCATACCACTCTTGGTGATGTGAGAATTCCAACTGTCCCAAAGGTTCTGTCATGTCTCAAATCTTCTCTTTTAGATGAAAAGAACTAAAAAATTCAGGGTAATTAATTTTGTTATTAATTTTGTCATATTTTATATGTTCTGTTGACAAACCTTTACCAGTTTCAAACTTTAGTAAACAATAATAAAGTGACTAGAATTGGAATGCCAATGTTCTCATGCAAAAGTTACAATGGAAGTCTATAGCAGTGGTGGCGAACCTATGGCACGCATGCCAGAGGCGGCACTCAGAGTCCTCTCTGTGGGCACGCACGCCGTTGCTCCAGCAGAGTTCGTCAGAGCAGTGAACACGTGAGCGTTTGGAAGCGACAGGGCAGGAAGTGAGCAAGCAAGCAGCGTTAGAAGGCGAGGGACTGGCCCCCACTGCCCTGGCCCCGGCCTGCTCATACAGTCTGCTGTGACCACTGCAGCCACGCCCACCCAGTGCCCCCACCCTGAGGGCACCACAATGCTGATGCAGCCCTGGCACTTTGCGATAAATAAGTGGGTTTTGGGTTGCAGTTTGGGCACTCAGTCTCTAAAAGGTTCGCCATCACTGGTCTATAGTATTCAAGAAAATGTGGAAAGTTATCTACATATGATTATCAGCATTCACTGGGGCAGTATCTAATTTGGTGAGGTGTGTGCTTATTAAATGAATGTCAACTTCTACCACATTTTAGCCTTTCATTGGAGCACACATCTGAAATATCATGGTTCTGCAGTCTACATTCCCCACCAAGGAAGGAAAGTTTCAAAGCCTGAATGTTTCAGCCACATTTAGGGCTGGGCAACCTCTGGTCATAAGGTCATATGTGCCCTTGACCTAACCAAAAGCTTACCTTTTTTTTAACCTCCCTTTATTTTGTTCAATAAATAACTCAAGACAGTGAGCAAACATAATACTCCTTCCTCCTCCTAAATTCCCCACAATAACAACCTGTGAGGTAGAACACAGAACATAGAATAACAAGGTTGGATGGAACCTTGGAGGTCTTTTAGTCCAGCCCCCTGCTTGGGCAGGAGACCTTTTACCATTATGGACATATGGTTGTCCAATCCCTTCTTGAAAACCCCGGTGATGGAGCACTTACAATTTCTGGAGGCAAGCTGTTCCACTGATTAATTGTTCTCACTGTCGGGAAATTTCTCCTTAGTTCTAGGTTAGATCTCTCTTTAATGATATTTCACCCATTGCTTAATGTCCTATCCTCAGGTGCTTTTGAGAATAGATCAATCCCCTCTTTTCTGTGAAAGCCTCTCAAGTACTGAAAAACTATGCTATGATGATGTTACCCCAAGAGACATTATCACTTCACCTGATCTTGATATTATCCCAGTGTTGATGCAGCCTAGAACTGCTTTGGCTTTCTTTGTAACTACAGCACACTACTGGCTCATATTTAAGTGGTGGTCCAGCTAGATCCCTCTCACAGTTCCTACTGTTGAGCCAGGTACTATCTATTCTATACCTGTGCATTTGGTTTTTCTTGTCTAAGTGCAGGACCTTATTTTTCTCACCACTGAATTGCATTTTGCTGGATAGGGCCCAATGTTCAGGTCTGTCAAGGTTCTTCTGAATCTTGAGTTTATCTTTCAAAGTGTTAGCTATTTCCCCTAGCTTGGTATCATTTACAGCTTTAATGAGTTCCCCTTCTATCCCCTCATTTAGCTTATTTATAAGAGTATTGGGCCTAAGGCAGAACCCTGAAGTACCCCACTGCATTTTTTCTTCCATACAGATATGGTTCCATTAAGGGTCATTTGCTGAGTGCGGTTGATCAGCTAATTGCAAATCCATCTGGTGGTGATGCTTTCTGTACCACATTGTTCTATCTTACCAAGAAGTAGGCTGAGGTCTACTTTGTCAAACGCCTTATTTAAGTCTAAGTAAAGTATGTCCACAGAATTTCCCTGATCCACTAATTTCATCACTTTGTCAAAGAAGGCAATAAGGTTTGTCCTCCTTACCATCTTCTCCCACTAGTGGACCAATCATTTCCTTGAGTTTGTTCTTGTTTCTTACACATTGAAGGAAAGTTTTTAAATTATTTTTGGCATTTGTTGCAAGTCTTCATTTATTCTGAGCCTTAGCTTTCCTGACTCCATCCTTGCTATTTGCCAGTATTCTGCTTTGGTTATGTGTCCCTCTTTCCTTTTTGTCACAGAGTTTTTATGCAACCTTAGGCTGGTTTTATCTGGACTCTCTTATTTTTCTTTCTCTATGATATTGTGTTAGTTTAGGTAGGTTAACTGAGAGAGAGTGATTGGCCCAAGGCTACCCAGCTAGCCTTCATGCCTAAGGTGGACTAGATCTCATGATCTCCCAGTTTCTAACCTGGTGCCTTAATCCCTACACTAAATTGGTTCTTCACAAAGCCCTCTGAACAAGCAGCATAGATCTCTGGAAGGAGTGATCTCTGGAAACTTGTAGTGTCTGAAAAAGAAAAGAGAGTATTAAAAAGGGAAAGAGAGCAAAAGAGAAAGAAATTTATTCTATGTGATTTATGTTCTGCAATATTGACCACCATTTTTCAGATATGGTATACTTTTTTAAAATGGTTTAGAAGTGGTTTTAGTTTTGTATGTATCATGTAGAGATAGAAACATATACACAAGTACTATTTTGCATTACTGTATGCTTTTTTGATAGATGTCACCTGTTTCCCACAAAATTTGTCTAATTGTTT